AAATTTCATTAGTCGATATGTTTACTATAAAAATAATTACATATTTTACATAATTATAACTTTTGAGTGGCAACAATTTTTTCACATTTTATAGAAAATTAAACAAATGTAAAAAAATGAGATCTTTTTGAACTTGAACTATACAAAAAAACCTGGATTTGTCCATAACCAACTTTAAAAATTTAATAATACTTATAACTAATAATTTATACAATTTTTTTGTTCAAGAATGTATCTTTTCTACACCTAAAAATGTATTTTATTATATAATCTTTAATTGGTGAATTTACCAATTCATTAACATTACTTTTGTTGTTTAAAACTTTTGTCAACACCATGTATTGACATTAAATGCATCTTAAACGTTTCTGGTTGCTTATATGTTTTACCACAAATGGGACATTTAAATTGTGGCTCAATACCACATTCATACTTTAGGTGTCGTACCAAACCTTTTTTGTACTTGTATTTTCGAGAACATTGTCTTGGACAGTAAAACATTCCATCAATACATCGTAGTAATTCAAATCCTGAAACAAGTGAATAGCCCACAAGCATAAAATAAAATTTTTGTTAGAATATGCATTAAGTTCATGCAAAAATTCAAAAACTATAAGCTGAGACTAATGAAGTTATGAAAAAGCAAACTAACTATGTATAAAAAAAAATTAATTATACAATAAAATATTCATTATTTTAGATTATTTATTTATTTTTACCATAGTTAATAAAACATTTAACAGTGACTAAAAATATAAACATACATAATATAATATTTTAACTTTATTGTTACAATGTAACATTAGACCTAATAAGTTATTTAATTAAATTTACCTAATTAGATAACTTATATGAATATAAATCAAAATAATTTTATTTAAACTTCATATATTATAATATAATAATAACTTATAAAAATTTAATTACATTTATATATTTCTAGTTGTATATACTTTAACATTTTTTAAGCACATAATTTAAAAGTCTATAATGAATTATACAATGTAAGATGTATAATAAATATTTCTACAAATTATATAAAACATAATAACATTAAATTACATTTTTGCACTCGCAACATTACTATAATATACTAAGTTAACCGCAAAAATAACATTATTTTAAGTACCAATTGCAAAAAAAATATATTATGAACCGTAAAGTTTAAATTTTTAATAATTTTAAAACAAATTTGTGTAAATACAAAATTATTATGAATCAATCAAATTAAATTAAAAACATGGTTATATTAATTATTGAAATATGTAAAACTGGTTTTGTATGTTCTTTAATGATTTTATGGCTGACATATCTATAAAACAAATTTCAAAAATCTCCTATATAACATAATGCTATACACAATATGTATATAAATATATATATATATATATATATGTTTATAAATAATTAAATTCTAGATACAATCTACAAACTAAAAAATATAAATTCACTTACCTATATTTTCTTTTTTTCAATAAAATAAATAAAAAAATATAATCTTTTGTTTTCATATAATATATTAGATTAATTATTATAAAAATGATTATACTATATGAAAATCATAAATATTAAAAATAGGAAAAACGCTGATAATAATAAAAACAATCTATATAATAATGTACAATATAAGTTTAATCTATACAACACATAATATCATGTATTTGACTCAATGATAAATATTTTAAATAATACATGTAACCATGTATAATAAATTATAATGATATAGCAACAACTACTTTCTATAAAACATCTTTAATATACTTACTACCTAATTAACCGAACTAAATTTGTGAAGAAAATTTGTTTTAAAACTTAAAATATTAATTAAAAAACATAAAATTACAAGATATATATTTCATGAATAATAAGCATTAAGTATTATATTAATGGTTAACGATAAAATTTGAAAAAATATTTTCTTGTCTCTCGCCTTACCTTTAACTCCAAACTTGAAAATGTAATAAATCAATTGAAGATCTGAAATAATTAATTAATCTACTGTACAAAATAAGTATACAAAATGTAATAAATGGTACCTTTTATTTGAGGATGAAATTAAATTAAATGATTTATAATGAAAATATATTACTATAAATAATTATAAAATTTTTGAAATTCAAGAATTATTGAAAATAGCTTTATTCAATAAATAATAACATTAATAATCGGTTTGGGAATAGCAAGAGAAACTGCATTAAAATGTTCATTACAAATATAACTGGATAACTTTAAGAGGACAGGAGCGTGATTCATTTTCGGCCGAAAATATAGCTCACTTCTTCAATTATTACACCCAATATAATATTCTGATATTAATTTTGAACACGGATTTGTATTCGTCACTAAATTATTTATGCTTTGACTATTTTTTTTCTTTTACTTAAAAATTTAGTAACAAAAAAAATAAAATTATAGCACATTCATGGTTCAAATTTCAATACATTTATATAGAATATGAAAAATGTACGACTGTTAAAGCATAGAAAATTTAAAGAAAAATTCAAATCTACATTTAAAATTGAAATCGGAACATTCTACTAAACGTAGTAATTGAAATCACTAGCAATATTTTTTGAGTACCCCAAATGTTGATGGCAGACAAAATAAAGAAAATAATAATAAGAAGAAAAACTCACACATTGTAAGGTCAAAAAAATTATCACTTCGCTCAGCATTCTAATATATTTTAAACAACGTTAAAATTGGAATATTTTTGTAACATGAATTTTTGATAAATTTATTACTTTTTTTTCAAATTGTATAGGTACTTTTTGAGTGGTATAAGAATCATTGATATTGCATAGATTCTTTTTTGAATCAATTCACTGTATTAAACACAAGGGTTTCAAATGTTCATTTTCAGAAAATATGATGTTAGTTAATGAAAAAGAAAATAAATTTTTTGCAATTTTGTTTTCAAATGTTTAGTATGTGGAATTGTTGAAAATAATTATGTTGTTATGTAGTTTTTTTTTAAGTAGGTTTTTAAACGATGTGGAGAGTGCCTGATTGCAGCAAACGCGCTACATCAGACAAACAATCAATTATTACATCAAACACATTATATATAAGTCGCTGGGTAGGTACGTAAATTTTGGTGATTCGTTTACTCAAGTAACAACCATATACTCATCTTCTTCAGAGCTCCTTATTCTCATACATATGTATTTAATCAATTATTATTTATTTTTTATTTTTTTTTTGAGTAGGTGATTACAATATAAAATCTATGAATAACTTAACATAACTGACAAAAAATAAATAAATAAATAAGTGTAATAATATTTACCTTGTAGATTTTGAATAACTTCTGAGAGACAAGAAAATATATATTTTTCAATTTTATAAAATTAGTTATATTTGTGCATATTGTATTTTATACCACTTTTTGTTTTAATATATCATATTATATTATAGTATTATGCCATACCATGGTATACTATAGTCAAATATGTATATAAAGTACCTTTTTAATGTTTAAAATGTAAAAAATGTACAACATTTATACCTACTTATCACTAAATAATGGTTAAATGTTTCACGATTTCTATTTTACTGAGATAATGTTTTTGAAATAAAAGATATGCATATGTGTTACCATAAATTAAGAAAATGTAGATAATGAAGTAATTAAGAAGATGTTATATCTGAATATGTGGTCTTTGTCTTAGAAGCATACAGTATAGCAAATTTACATTTGACAGAACCAATTATGTGTTATTAGATTTAGTATTGAAATGAATTAATTTATTATCAAAATAAAAGATTAGAACATTACCAATATTATTGAATTTTTTTCGATATTTTAATTTAAACCTTTTCAATTTATAATATTTGAAAATACTTATAACTTGCTTAAAAATTAAAATATCTGAAAACAGCCAAGGCTTGAATATTACTTATGTTCTTACCTTTGACCTTAATAAGTTAATTCATTAGAATAGTAAATCCAACAACACATAATGGATTCTACTGAACACAATTTTGCTTATATTTACACTTATAGATGGAAATACATATAGACATAGCATTATCTTACCTAGATTTTATAATTAAACCAAATTTATAATTTTTTTTTTCACATTATTACGTAGTGATATATAATTTCCTAGTATATTTCATAAATTGAAAAAAAATAAAGTTTATTTTATTATTCCTTTTAAAATCTGATTAAAAAACTAAATGTCATAAAAATTGTAAAATTTTTCATGAAAGAAAATAAAATAAATTCTGAAATAAAATCTATCAAATTAAAATTAACAAATTAGTATATTTTTAATAACCCATAAGAAAGCTTATTTATTATTATTTTTTTAAATATTTAATTTGATGTTTATTTAACAAAATATATTTTATATTATAAAATGCAAAACTATTTTTAGTTGTATTTATGATATATGAAAAAATGTGCACTTCTTATTTTTTAGTCTAAATTTTTAAGTATGGGTTTAAATAAAAATCACTACGATGCACATTACTATGTAGAAACATTTTTTGTGAAACACATTATAGTCAGTCTTAATAGTTTAAAAATATCATAAACCTTATCTATTTAGACTAGTTAAAGTAAACAATATTAAATCTATAATAATATACAATAACATATTATGCATATCTAAGGATTAATATTAAAAAAGTACTTTTCTTGACTAGTAAGCGTGTTAAGTAAATGTGTAAAATCAAGCTATTTATCATAAATTCCTTTATCCATTTCCCAGTGGTGTACCTACTATCTAAATAAGATAGTATTATCGCATATTATCAAAATGAGATGGGTTGGATTCAGTAAATTACAAATATTTTTATCATAAATTATACATTACATTTTAATTATTTAAAAAGACATACTTAATGACTAAGATCCAAAATTCAATAACACAAAGTTAACATTTTTTTTATCTCAAATACAGGGATTTTAATATAATCTAGCAAGAGAAGTTAATTAACAGTATACACCACTGGTTTATTGGAAATTTTTTTTAAAATAAAAAACCACTTACCTTATTTCCAACTGTAAAATGGAATAACGATATCACCTGTAAAATAATTATATATATAAATATACATTCTAAGTATAACTTTTTAAGTATTTATATTTTAAACAACATAAATTAATTTAGTTAATACATGTTGATAAATTATACAAATAATATGTTTAAATAAGAAAAATATTTCAATAGATCAAGCATTAGACTGTTTTTAAAGGTGTATTGTTGCACTTAAAGACTCAGTGGCAATTCATTTTCTAACCTAGCACTACGGTCGGTCAGAAAAAGTAAATTATTGGGTATTTTTGCTGATTGTTTATATTTAAAAGTTAATTATAAACGATTATAAATTAAATTGCACTTCACGGAGTTTCTAAAGCTAGAATTAAATACACTACTAAATAAGTCTGCTAAAAACTTTATTGCATATAGCCCTGATGAATATCTTTGATAAATTGGGCCTATCATTTAAATTTCACTTTACTCATAAAATTATATGAAACCGTATACACAATTATTTATAAAAATATTTATAGTAATTTCAAACATAATTTTCAGTAGGTTATCATTGGAAAACTCTAATTATCCCAAAATAATACATAATATTTTTTTCAAATCAGGAGTACAACATTTAATTGTTTATTTCTGCATATATCAATATTGGAAATTATTACATGTTGTGTAGGTAATCCAGAACCTAGATTTATAAATAATACTTTAGAGTTAACTTCAAAAATTTTGATAACCTTATTATAAGTATTGCTTGTTGACCATTAAATACTACCAAATTACTAAATAATACTACCTACATAAAAATTACTAATCAAACGCCTAAAGGATTGCCTGCCAATTTCACTAAACCATTTTATAACTTCTCATACATCTTAGATAAAATACTTAGGTTTAGTTTTCGATAAAACACCTAACCCGGTCAACACACCTCAAAGGCAAAAGGAAAAAACTAAATAATTTACTATAAACTAAGATCACTTCTTTATTCTAAAAAAACAGTTCCTATCAAATTTCTTCTCTACAAAATATCATTAAAGCAATAAAGCCTATCTGATTCTATGATATCATTATATGGGGTTCAGTCAAACCATCAAAAATTAAAACAATTCAAGCCTATCAATCCATCTGCTTTAGAATAATTATCAATGCACCTTGGTTTAACACTAACATGGCAATCCACCATGACTTCAAAATTCAAACTGTCAACAAAACTATCATACCATTTTATAAAAGATTCTATTCAAAAACACAATCACACCAAAACCAACTTCATCATCCAGACAATATTTTGGGACGTCTCAAAACGAAACTATTTGATCTAAATTTCAAGCCAATCCAGGTTACGCAGTTGTGCATTTTCCTGCTTAAGCATTCATGTTACCTCAAATCCTATACATATATTATATTAAATCATACATTTTACTTATTGTACTAAAAACTATATACCTAGATTGTAAATATTCAAATAGTTAAAAATTGAAAAAAAAAAAAAACAACTGGTCAATTATTGTTATTAAAATAAAGTAAAATTATATAAGTAGGTACATGCTGCGTTCCAATGTCCAAATTTAAAACAAATTGTAATTATACTATTAGTTTCCATAATTTTGTTTTTTCTATATATTCCATTCACTCACTAGTTAAAAGAAGTTAAGCACTCTCACTCTAATTTTATTGTAATAATTACGCTTTAAGGTTCAAAATCCATTTATTTTTGTATTTAATAAATATTAATATTATGGACATTTAGTATTTATACACTCAAAGAAAATTTATGAATAGTAATAGGTAATAACACTAAACTAAAGTGTTAGAAAACTTATATTTCGGAAGTATGATATAATAATGAACAAAAAAAGTTGAAGTACAAAACAAAACTTAATTTTAACACATTTATCTTCAGTTTATTTTAGTAATACAATTAATTTTTGCTTGCACTGAAGAGCAAACCTTTATATTATGACGAAACAACAACTTTAAAATAACATAAATAATTCCATATACCAACTGGAATTAATAGAATTAATGTTTTGGGAAATTTGTATTCTCAGTATTGAGACATAAACCCAGGACAAATTAGAGTATAAATAAAAATCATCGATATAGATAAAAATGTATTTTCTAAACAGAAAAATAATACAAAATGAATACTACTGAAACAATGGATTATGATTATATAAGACTCTATCATCAAACTAAAAAAAAAAACGTTTTTTGATTCAGGTTTCTAATATTTGTTCTTCTTAATACAATATTGTTAAATATAAAAAAAAAGGGAACAACAATTTAACTAGATTGTTGTCGAGTGATACTAGCAAACTTAAAAAAGCTGGTTTTAAACATTTAAGTATAAACCACAGTAAAAACTTTGAAGACACAAACTCTATACACATAACAGTTTTGGAAATCATCAAAATGGTAGAACAAAAACAGCACAGTGTTTCATTTTTTTCTGTCATTAAAATCATATTTAACTGAATTACTATGGACTATGGTGCCAGAATGTAAAAGAATATAAATCACCAACATTTTAAAACATTAATGAGTTCTTATTTCTACCAGTAAATAATTTATTAATGAATCATGTTTAGCAAAAAAATAATAAAATTTTGTAAAAAAATTAATTTATTATTGTAATAAAACTTTAAAAATATTGTATAAGGAACTAAGTATGATTTGTTAAAAAATAAAGTAGTACATGATAATAAGAGAGTAGAAAATTTTGGTGGTCTTATAAACAGGATATTACCAACATGAATGAATTAAAATAATTCATTTGTAGCAATTTTATACAATATTATTAGTTGTTCTTAAGTGTATCAGAGTTAGCCCTCCATCAATATTTTATAATATACTATCACTTATATTAGGTAAGTATAAACCTATTATAAAGTTGTAAAATTTGTATTGAAGTATAATTACGTAATTGTTATACATCAAATAAAATAAACTATAGTATAATTAGAATTGATTAAAATCATTGACTACATAAATTAAGGTGTAAATAATAATTTAGCAGTGATACAAATTGTATGTTCTATAATTGAACTATAACACATATATAAATTCCAAAAATGTTTTAGAAGATATGATATTGATCTTTATCAATAGGTATGCTTAAAAATAAATATTGTAAAGACTATAAGGCAGTAATTAAAAATTATGATAAATTATCTGACTAATAAGAATTAAAATAAATAGATAGGTGCAAAAAGCAAATGCTATTTTTTTGTCAATAATTATTAATAAATATTTAGAATGAATTTCAGAAGTGTGATAAATTTTCAGTCGTTTTCATTGAATCATGTCCAAATTAAAAATTATATTCATGCTCAACAAAAATTATTATTTTTGAAACAAGTCAAATAGATAATATGATTTAAATACTTAATAAATATATTTTTACACATTTATGACATTTAATATAAAGGTACCTACCTACCAAATTAAATTATTTATATTGTTTAAACATGATAACCAAATTCTATGAAATATATTTAATATATAAAATCCAGAACTTTTTAACTCTATATCATGTACATGAAATTACTAACTGTAAGGTTTTAATTAAGTTTTAACATTAATAGAATAATGTAATTAGACAATTATCATAAATACATATCTACAATCTATTTGAATATTGGTACAATGACAATGGTACTATGGTACCATGATATAAATATATATATTAGTATTTGATCGTATACTATAATACTATAATTTTACTTATTTAATATTGAGAAATAGTTCAAATCTTACCAGTAGTTAAAAAGGTAGGTGTCTTGACAATTCACAGCAAACACAAAACAACAGACAATTCATTTTCATAAAATTAACACTTTTAAAAACACAAGTAATTATATTAATTACGAATGAAATTATGAATATATAAATACCCAACTAAAACAACAATGTAATATATTTCAATAACTAACTTTATTATATACTGAAAATAATATTTTTTTAGTATTTAAGTAGTAAAAAATTATATTGGTGAGTAATTAAAAAAAATATATAAATTAATTAAATAGCCAAATAACTTGGAATATAAAGTATTAAAAGATTAGTAGTACACAATAAAACATACTATTTTTCAAATAAAAAATGGAAATATGTGTGACTGCTTTTAGTTAATCTAAAAGTTAAATAAAATAAGTATTTATTTTATTATTATAGGAATTATGATGTTCATAAAGGTACAATTAGGAAATTGAAAATATAATGACTATTTAATCTTAAGGTGGTCATTCACTACTTATTTTGTTGAACAATATTGGTTTAACTCATATTCCAAAAATGTTTTTTTAAATATATCTTTTTTAATGGTTTTGAACATTAACGTACCAGGCAATGTGCCAAAACCAATTTAAGTGAAATAGATTTTAATACCCATTTTCATTATTATTATTGGTTATCGATAACTTAATAATCTATAATTAAGTAATCGCCTATAAATACGCATATAATAAAATTAATACATATGTACTGACAAATAGTAAGATAAAGTAAATTAATAGTTAGATCGAGTAGGAATTTGTTGTCCTAAATTTAATACAACTATTTTAGATTATAGATAATACATACTTATTTTTAAATAAGAAACAAAACTGATAAAAAAAAAAAAAAATACCTATATACTATACTAAAACCATATACCTACTAAAAAAACCGGATTTAACATTTGATAATGCATATAAAATATATTGCAACATATGAAACGTTTTAAAGTTAATTTGTTTATGTATTATACCTATTTTAATAAACAAAATATTTACAAATATTTTTCAAATTTACAATTGTTGATAACAACTATTAATTTTGTGATTTATCTTGAGGTACCACTTTTATACTTTAAATTTAAAATATTTAAAAAATATATTAACTTATTATAATTGAATGAATTAAATAACATGGATTATAGTAACAATCATCATCAATTATCATATAACTTATTATTACTTTAACGAAAAATTACTAATGACACTTCATTTAACTTTTTTGAATGGATAAACTAAAGTTAATTTTATACATATTATTTTAATTGGATATTTATAATCTTAATTTTTACTAATGAATGCATCATTTAATCACAAATAGTTGTTAACATTAACAAACAAAGCACTATAAGGTTAAAAAAAAGATACACAATAAGTATGTAAACAACCACTTCACTCGATTATTTCAACAGTAGATTTTCAATAATTCAGTAGTCACAAAAGAATTTTAAATATTAGAAAATCTTAAATTGCAATAACGTGTCCGCATACCGAATAACAATTACAAAATTGTATAAAGCGATAGAAAACGAACTCTAACAAGACAAAATCGAAAAATTAGTACTGAAACTCAAACATAATGATAACAACGGATCACCATTCACATTCACCACACAATATTGTTGATAATTTAAACGTGAGGTTATGTTATTATCTCCAACCTCTTAGAAATGGCGCCGAAATAAAAACATAATACGCATAATTTAAATTAAATGCATTTTGCACATTTTAATTTTTAACACTAATACAATTAAAAAATTAACCTGGTTGTTTATAAGTTATTATTTTATTAAATACATCTATGAGTAAGTCTTGTACTTATTTATCATTATTATTATACACATCAATGAGTAATTTGTAATTTTATTTGAATATTTTCTTGAGATTATTCTAAGGTACATACCTATCAAATACAATTATTATTATATTATACAATATAATATGCTCTCATAAATTTTAACATTTAACAACATTCTTACAGTACAGTTTTGATTTTTATCTTCGAAGGAAAAATTAGATTGTATCGGTTATATACCAAGCGTACGAGTTCCAAAAAGTTAGCTATATACCAATGTGCCATGTAGGTACCCTACTATCTATACCTAGTACCTACTAGTGAAACGTACGACCTATAGCGTAATATTTAGTAATGACCAAAATTCTTACCACGTAAACAAATATTGCAGACCAATTATATTACTTAACATCATTAATTAGAATATTTTTTTAAATTGTATAATTGATCTTCGAACTTTTCTTCCATACTTCTTATAGTAAGTATCAATCATCATAATAGAAAACTTTTTATGAAAACTATGACACAATCATATGACCCCAATGACTAATATTAGTTATTGTACTTATTTTTGGAAATTACTACCTTGAATTTATACGTATACGTATAGTGCCGCTTTACTTTACAGATAAAATAAACAAGTTAAAATCACTATACTTTTTTTTAAAGGAAAAAACATATAATTTCTGAATTTACTAGAATAGATTATTTATTTTTCATTTAGTCATAAATATAAATGACTTATTTGATATTCATTGTGCACCTTTGTCCTTTAATATAATGAAAAATTAGGCACACCTAGATTTACCTATTTATTGGAAAAATACAGCCAAATTAATTTCGAATTCATTATCTAAAATAAATGATATACTATATTTATTATTTAATCTTTATCTAATAAGTGAAGTACCTACTAGTACGAAATAAAATGTACAAAAACAATTTAAAATGAGGTAGGCTAGTGGGTACCGATCTGCTATACATTAAATGTTAACTATTGAGTAGGTCATTATAAAAGATGAGTTAAATTTGAATTCAATGATAAATTATCATAAATATTTTACATAAACATCGATAATGAGTAGAAATGATCTGTTGACTTATGTCACTGCAAGTACCTACCTATAATCCATGATTTATTTTTTGATATACCTACTATAAAAGTATACCAGTTAAAAAGTAAATGACTCCGGATAATACGCATTGTATTCCCGGATAGACGATTTATGTCAATGATTTTGTATGTAGAATAAAATTAATAATCACAATAATGTGTAATATGATTATTGATACAATAAGGCGCCGTAACTTATTATACACTATGATGTGTACATAAGGATGAGCTTTTAATATTTAATATAATATACTACTACTCACTTGTTATTTCCCCGTAACAAATGCCCTTGATTATATTCCCGAACTAAGAAGATTAATATTGCATCTTCTGACAATTCATATGAACCATTACAAAATCTTAATAAAGTTGAAAACTTTCTCTATACTTAAAAAATATTAAAAATGCATAACAAACAAAAATTAATATATTTTTTAATGTAAATAAAGTATGTAATATATAGGTATAAATGTAAATAAAAATTATAGATAGTATACATGGTTTTAAATAATAAAAATAAAATTTAATAATAAGTATTTATGTATTAGTATATTACACTTGTAATAATAATTAATAACACAATATAAATGCAATTATAATAAAAAATTCAAAATTGTATGTACAATTTACGATTACTCTTTTAATACGTTATTTTTACCTGGTCCCTTGAAAAGCGTATTAACGGATTCTACTGTAATTTATTTTGCTGTTAGTATTACGATAGGTTAATTTCATTTTTGCTGAAAACAGCATTTATTATATTATTAATATTCATTATTATAATAATATATTAAATTTATATATATTCTGATATTCATACCATTTACATATATTTTCATTTTTCATAAGTTTTAACTTTTGAGTCCACATGACATTATCAGTTAACAGTTACAATAAAACAATTTGAATACTGAATAGGTAATATTAAACTATCAATTGTTTAAATATGTAATTTCATCCAAATTTTAAATTTAAATATTTATAAAAATAGTTGTATTTATATATTTTAAAATTTTTTTGATTTTATGTGTTATAGGTATAGGTACTTCAATTATCCGGATATTTGTTTATCCAGACCAGCCTTGAAAATAATTAATCAGAATAATTGGTGTTCTACTTTCGATATTATACAACATTTTTTTTTTTATATACCTATACATTTTTAACTACATAATAGTCTGCAGATTTATGCAATTATGACAAATTTTATTAACATTTTGACTTCAAACGCATATAAAAAAAAAAATCATATCAAATTCAAACCAATACACAAAAACAGTATTAAATAGAATTAAATATGTTCGTACAACAGTTAATTTATATTTCTCAATAATTTATTTTACAAACCAAAATGAAAAACCCGATTTTTCTAAACTGATCAAATTTTATATCCGATGGCCAATCTGGTCAAAGTGGAGTATTGCAGGTGCACCAAATGTGGTATACATATCGATTAAATTAAATGCTAATTCCTCGACACGTTTTGATTTTAAAGGTCTGAGTGGTAAAAATTTTGTTAGATGGTTCGAATAATTCATAGTAAATTTAAAATCATTAAAACTTTGACTTTGCATATCAATAAGGTTAATTTGAGCTCGTTAACTAAATGCATTATGAAGTATTGGTTTAGAAACTAGGTCTCGTTTTGAATTCGATGATTTTTTTTTTACAGTGCATACAGAAACTTAAATAGATCATAATAGTTTCCTTGGTAATATTACAATATTTAGTCTTCAATTCATAAACCATGGGGTCCCGACCACCATGACCTATTGCAATGTGACTATCGTGTAAAATATAAGATAATTCGTCGATTGATACATAATAGTGTATACACTTTCTATAGTTATAAATCATAATGAAAAAAAATATTTCGGAACGTAGTTAGAACACAAAAACCCCACTTCAGTGTACGTGTCTGTACCATTATATTTTCTAAAACTGATTTAAGTTTTAATTTAACTTGAAAAAATGTTGTAATAAATACCTACTGTACACGAGAATCACTTTTTGCAGATGTTAATATTGATAGAATAATAATATAATAGTTATAATTTATAAGCATAGCCATGTTTTCGCACAATAAGTAGATACTTACCTATATAGAGTGAACAATGTAGTAATTCATTTTTAACAAATTGAGAGAAATCGAAGTAATACATAAAATTGAACTTCATTATATAATATTATGATAATATGTTGATAA